AGAATAGGTATTGTTCTAATATAATAGTACTATTTATAAATAAAATTTCATAAATTGAAGCAATTTTACCAAAGTGAAAATCGTCAGGTATTATGTTATTCTAAGCAAGTATGCTGGTCTCAGTAATCCTTGATATAAACTTCCATCCCTGGGTTATTTGACAAGTTTCTACACTGGATTAAATCCTTTGGCAATTCTTTCCTGATTCCTTTTATTGGCTACTCTGCAGATGGCTCAGTGACCCCAGCTCAGTGTTTTGCCCTCTTCTCAATCCACACTTCATCCTTTGAATACTGGTTTTCACACTTGTAATCATGCCACACAATTAGTTACACATTTTATAATGTAACACACAATACACTGAATAAAATGGAAACAAAAATGTCATGAAGCAATACTTATCCTACTATATGGGATAAATCTGATATTTTTTCCTCTGTGCTTGTTTTTTTAAATGCTAGTTGTTACTCATTACATTGATTTCCTGACTCATTAATGGGGCACAACTCACAATATGACAGCACTGTTCTGGGTGATCTCCAGTGCCATAGCTTTAAATATTATCTGACTCTTACATGTATATCCCAGCCATATCTTCTCCCCTAACTTCAGACTCCTGTATTCTACCTGACATCTCCATGTGGATGTTTTTCTAAACCTGCTCCTCTTCCCTTAGTGTTCTACTTCCTGGTAAAATGGGAACACCAATCAACCAGATGCTCAGGCCGAAAACTCAAAAGTCCCACTCAACTTCTTTTCTTCTCTCTCTCAGACCCTGCCATCTCTACCTTTGAAGTATACGCTAAATCCAACTCCTTAGCACCTCTACCACTACCACCTTAATCTAAGTCATCACCAGTGCTTACAAGGACTACTGCAAAAGCCTATTAACTGTTTTCCTCCACTTGCCATAAAACAGTCCATTCTCCAACAACAGGATGATCCTTAAAAACATAAATCAGATGTCTCCTGCTCAAAACCATCCAGTGGCTCTTCAGCACACTCAGAATAAAATCCAAATTTCCTATTATGGCCTATAGGCCTACTGTGACCCTAGCTATCCCTTTCTGACCTCATCTCTTATCCTTCTTCACTCCCTTCCAGCCACAGTTGTCCTTGCTGTTTTTGGAAGGTACCAGAAATGCTCCCACTTGAGAATTTTTGTACTTGCTATTTCTTTGCCTAGAATGCTTTTCTCCAAGAGATTCACATGGCTTGCTCCCTCATTTCATTGATTTATCTGCATAAATATTAACTCAGAACAGCCTCTCCTGACTGCCTGAATTGAAAAAGCACTCCCTAGCCTCTTACCTAGAGTCCCTTTTTCTTCATAGCTCTTATCACCTAACACTATAATATCTCCAGTGTTTAATGAACTCAAACTTTAGTTCAAGGAATGAATGTGCATACATGAATGTTAGAAATCACAGTCTGAGAGTATTATTAATAACTTTATTCTTGGTACAACATGAATTTCGTTCTTCATGACACCATTCTTTCTTTTCCAAATTAATAAATCTATTTTAAGGATCAACTAAGCATAAATTAAAATGAAGAAATAAGATCACCTTTGTGAGGTGAATTGGGAAAAATATAAATGGAATCTAACCAAACTCATAAATAGAGCAAGCACAGAAGTTTTTATGTATACTTATATCCAGGGCAAAGGAACTAAGAATCTTAACTAGACTTCATACATGTGCCTAGCGAGAATATTTATAAAACAAGAATTATAAAGTAATAGATTAGAGCCGAGACTGTTGAGCCAGACTACCTGGGTGCAAATATCCTGGTTCTGATTCTTAGTAGCTATAAAAAACTTTTCTGCATATCTGTTTCCTCACTTATAAAATGGAGACAATAACTGTACCTACCATGTAGTGTGCTGTACAGAACAAAGCTTGTCACATATTAAGTCCTTAAATAAATACTAGCTACTATTATTTCTTTATAATTTATAAGCAAATTCCTTACCAATTGGCACTATTAAAATATGCAAACTTTGGGCCAGGCGCGGTCACTCACACCTGTAATCCCAGCACTTTGGGAGGCTGGGGCGGATCACCTGAGGTCAGGAGTTCGAGACCAGACTGACCAACATGGAGAAACCCCGTCTCTACTAAAAATACAAAAAAAAAAATTAGCCAGGCGTGGTGGGGCATGCCTGTATTCCCAGCTACTCGGGAGGCTGAGGCAGGAGAATTGCTTGAACCTGGGAGTTCGCCCACCGCTTTGGGAGGCTGGGGCGGATGGATCACCTGAGGTCAGGAGTTCGAGACCAGACTGACCAACATGGAGAAACCCCAAAAAAAAATGCAAACTTTGATGGGCAAAACCCAAATTATGCTTTATATTTTCAAGCGTCTTTCCATGAAAGGTAAGGGATTTATATTGATTGAAAAGTTTTTCCCACCCAAACACTGAAAAAACATAGTTGTTACTGAGACTGAAAGCCAGGGAATCATGAAAGGTAAAATATAAATGTGAAACCTGTAATCTATGTGCATACTAACCCACTGTACAAAATAAGAAGTTCAACACAGTTTATAAGTATGAAAAATCACAAACTGTTTTCTTAAAGATTAAAATTTAAACCTGCTAAAAATTCTCTCCTACATCATATGTTCAATATTTTGAATTTTATAACTTAGCTTGGGTTTTATGTTTTTCATAAAACAACACTATTTGGTTGAATATTGCACCCTATTTTATTACAATAACATAGATTTAACCAAAAAAAACTAACAACAACAACAAAAAAGCTTGCCCCTTAACAGATAGCAGCCAATTACCTTAAATATTTAAAGTCAAAAAAGATAAGAAAAAAACTGGGTTTTTTTCAAGCTCCTTAAATATGTAATATGGGATGCAGTTAAGTCCTAGAGAACAAAAGCCAATGATTAAAATTAGCTGTTTTCTTATCTGGTAAAGAAGTAGGAAAAAAGTTTTTAAGTGGAAAGCTTACTGTAACCTTAGCCATAAACAAAGGGTGTAATCTTCTCTATGGAGAATCAGGGAATCACCCGTTGCCATGGAGTCATAATGCCTGCAGCTAAACCAGACCTCATAATTAACAGTGATCCACAGCGCAAATGGCTAACATCAAGTACGAAATAAAATTACTTAATTTTCACAGCAAACAATACCTGTGCTTGTTTTAATGTACATGGTTTAAATATCTGCATTCCAAGTGTTCCAATATTCTGCATAACAGAATTCCATAAACTACATTAACTACCTTAGAATAAACACACACACACCAGGGAACCGTGTATACTACAGATGTATTAGTTAGCTGGCTCCAGAATTTGTTAATTTTGAGGGCTGCTAAATTGTTGCTATTAGAAAGGCTAATTAGATATTCAGTATTTATTCTTTGTTAGAAAAGCTAATTGGATACTCAGTATTTATTTTTATTTAAAAATCACAGATGATACAAAAGCTACAAGTAAAACAAATTTAAAAAAGCAAAAACAGGCCCGGCGCGGTGGCCCACGCCTGTAATCCCAGCAGTTTGGGAGGCCGAGGCGGGCGGATCATTTGAGGTCAGGAGTTTGAGACCAGCCTGGCCAACATGGTGAAACTCCGCCTCTACTAAAAATACAAAAATGAGCCGGGTGTGATGGTGGGCGCCTGTAATCCCAGCTACTCGGGAGGCTGAGGCAGAAGAATTGCTTGAGCCCGGGAGGCGGATGTTGCAGTGAGGAGAGATCAGGCCATTGCACTCCATCCCCAGGCGACTGAGAGAGACTCCGTCTCAAAACAAAACGAAACAAAACAAAACAAAACAAAAACTTGATGGGCCCACTACTAGAGACGCTCAAGTTTTAGCTCTGTTTAAATTAAAGCAAAAAAAAAGTGCAAAATATATAAAATAAAAAGAACTGATGATTCTCAAATCTCATTGACCTTTTCAGTCTTATTTTTGAAGTGAGACCTCACAAAATGATACCTACAGGTGTAATACACGATTTTTAGTAATGAGTATGCTTAAAGCAATCCTCTCAGTGATGTGTGCCCCCAATCAGGCAGTTTATTTTTTTTTTAAACCCACATAGCTTAATGTTTGATTTATTAAATATGACAGCGAATCATTTAGTTGTGTTATAACAGTTTATTATCATGGATTTAAATAACCATGTTTACATGTTTAAAATTATCACATCACTAGTTCTTGCTAGCTTTTGCCTTTTCTCCTGTAAACACTGCTTTTACCGATAAGCTTAGATAAAATAGAAATACACCACCTTCTTTATCAATAATGTAGCACACGATACATTACTAAGGCTGGCATTTTCTTGATATTCAAGAATTTATGACAAGGAATGGGATCCTGGCATTAAGAATAAAGAGGAAAAAAACAAGTCATCTAATCCCAAAACCAGGTGGAAAGTTGGGATGGAAGTATGTGTATTAGCAAACGTTTTTGAAGCCAAAGCAATTTTCATGCAAGTTAAACTTTCTACAGAAGTTAAAAACCGAAGAGATACAGCTGTGATGACAAAACATAAGCGAATGGCCCAAAATGAGGCAAGTCCTTTGGAGTAAATGTTAGGTAGTATTCACATAGAACTGCTTTCTGCAATTAGGAAGGGCTGGAATGGAAAACTCAATGCCAAAGAGAGAAGAGAAGTTAAAAGTGTGACCCAAGAGATCTGAAATTACACTTAACAGCAAATATCAAACCACCCCCACCACGCCTCCAACTGGAAGCTGTCCCATTTCTCCAGCAGAGGAAGACACGAGGAATTGGCTAGGGGGAAACTGGGAAACGCGTACTACAGAGGAGCCCAGAGCCCTCAACCCGCACCTTCAGCAGGAGTGGCCAAAAAGGAGTTTGAGGCGGCCCCAGGGCTGGAGAAAAATCAGGACGATGATACCACGCCCTTATCCTTCCCACCCTTTCCCCGCATCCTCAGCCCTATAGACCTCCGAAGAAAAGAGCGGTCCTTTGGGGGTCGCGGAGGCTGAGAAGCCGGCGGCCCGAGCGCCCTCTTTACCTGGTCGCAGAGGCGCGGCCAGGCAGGTAGGGTGCGTGAGCGTGTCGGCGACCTGGGCCGCCTGCGCCTTCCCGCCCAGCCCGAGCTGGAATTCCCAGGCTGCCTCTGGGAGCTGCTGCCCGCAGACCACTCGCTTCCACAGAGGCCAGGAGAAAAACGACAGCTAGTTTATCTGGAAAACACTCCCGCCGGCCGTCATTCATAATCCGGCGGACCGGAAAAAGGGAAGTAACGTCACTTCCTACTGTCGCACTGCCAAACGTTTCCCCCGCCCCTACTGTGGGAACCTTTGTTTTTCTGCTTTCGGAGCCGGCCAGTGCGGGGACCGTTTCCGAAGGGACCACCGGGAACAGACGGATCGGCAGGGCGGGGCGGAACGGTGAGTTGTGCTGAGCGACTTTGCTCCCGGCCGCCTCCTGGAGGCTCGAGACCCCCCGCTAGGAGCGAGGTGGGCGAGTAGCTACGTGGGGTATTAGTTTCCTCGCTCCTCAAGCGGAATCATCATAACCTACGGGCGGTTGCGTTCCCTAGACTGACTGCTGTCCCCTTTCAGTGAGGACTGTGCTTCCTCCGAGGGAGTTGCGGGCCGGGGCATGCGGACCGAGGATATTTCTAGGTCTAGGGACAAGGGACTTGGAATCTTGCCTCGGACTTTGTCGGAGGGTTTTAGTCACTTCTCTACGTAGCTCCCTCATTGTCTCTCATCTTTTAGCTCCCCTGTCAAGGACCATCCCCCATTCTAGGCCTTCGATGTGTGATGCTTTGATCAAAGGATTGACATTCTTTTTCTAAGTGTTTGCTGTCAGCTTTCAGTCACTTGATTGGTTTGGAATCGGAGCCTTTTCTCCTGCGATTCCAGGTGTCCCTAAGGTATCATTGTTACCCAGAACCAAGAACTCTGGAGGAATGAAAAAGGCAGCATCTTTAAAAGAATGTTTATTGGAAGGTGTTGCAAGAGTTTGCGAAGTCATGAAGAACAAAGTTTTTTAGAGCCATTATGAAATGGCAACGGTAATACTGCACTCTGTGTGCATAAATTCGGTTTCCTTCATCTGGGGGCACATGCATATGATCAACTTTAGACTTCTTTTGAGATTGCCAGGTAGGGTGAAAGATGGATCTGGGAGAAAGCACATACTTACATTTATATATGAATGCCCAATTCAGGTTGGAGAAATCGCAGAAGCCTTACAAGGTGACATTTACCCAAAAAACCTAGTTCATTCATTGGGTAAATATTTTTGAGCCCTTATTAAGTTTCAAGCACTAGGGAAATACAGTGAACAAAACAAGTTCCTGCTGTCATCAAGTTTACAGGCCAGTGGGATTAATGAATTTAAGCAAGCTAGGTGAAAGATTATGAGAGTTTTACAAATAGGAACATTGTACTACAAGTCTCCAGTCATGAAAGAGGTGATTGCTTTGCTTTTGCTTTTTTGATGTTTGGAGTTTTTTTGTGGGGGCAGGGGTGAGTTACTTTTGTGATTTCTGCTGAAGGGACCTTGGAAATGGCTACAGTTGTATAGAAGGAGAGATAAGACCACTATACTTTGATCACTTAGTTCCAGTAATTCTGTAGCCATTATTTGTGGTACTCTGCAAAGTAGCAAAGGGATAGGCAAAAGCATAAATATAGACTCTGCCCTTAAAGTACTCAGAGTTTTGTAGGGCACATAACACTTGTGCCAAAAAAAAAAAAAAAAAAAAAAATACTTCAAGGGAGAAAGTTGCACTACCATGAAAAAGCGCTATGAGATATCCTTGAAGGGAGAGACTATTAATAGGGTTTGGAATGGAGAAGGGCACAGCAACTGTCAGTCAAATCTTCATGAGAAGTATTTGAACAGGGTCTTGATAGGATGTAGATATATAAAAATAGGTAAAGAGCTTCCCAGACAAAAAATTTAAAAAAAGAGAGGTAGGGCCAGCTAGCTGTAAGGCAGATCTGGGGATAATGAATGATAATTTTTGTGCCAATTACTGAATCGTCTTAAATGCTAGGCCAAGAAATGTGGACTTTATTTTGAAGGTGGTGGAAAGCCCTAACTTCTCAGCAAGAATTTTTTTTTATTTGAATGAAAAGGAAGAAAACTGGGTTTCAGGAAAATTTGTATGGCAACAAAGTTGAAGTCAAGGAAAATAACGAGGTTATTGCCATAGTTCAAGTAAGCTAATAAAACCTGAATTTCATTAGTAGCAGTGAAAGTGAAAAGTAGAGCAAGTGTGAAAAATATCGCAGAATCCACAGGAAAGGCCTGCTGATTATTTTAATATAAGGAGTAGGGAAAGACTCAGTGAAAGAAAGACTTTGGTCTCAAACCTGACTAAAAGTAAGTTATGTCATTTATTGAAAGAGCAGGACAAGGAACTTTTCAGGAGGATAATCAGAATCTCAATTTTAGTTGTAACTGAATTGGAGACGCCTTTAAGGAACCAGATAGACACATACACTAAGCATTTGGAAACACGAGATTCAAATTTAAGAGATTTGGCTCGTACTTGTAATCCTAGCAATTTGGGAAGCCACAACAGGAGGATTGTTTTAGCCCAGGAGTTTGAGACCAGATGAGAGCAACATAGCAAGACCCTGTCTCTACTTAAAAAACAACAAAATTAACTGGGCATGGGTATGGTGGTACATGCGTGTAGTCCTAGCTGCTTGGTAGGCTGAGGCAGAAGGATCGCTTGAGCCCCAGAGTTCGAGGCTGCAGTGAGCCATGATCTCGGTGCACTCTAACCTGGGCAAGACCATGTCTCAAAAAAAAAAAAGCGAGAGAGAGAGATTGGAGTTGGGATAGAACATATTAAATCATCTACCCAGAGATGATAGTTGAAAACCTGATGTGTATAAGATTACCAAGAAGAAACTGCTAGCAGAACTAAGAAGATAGCCAAGGACAAACACTTGGACAATACCAAAAGAAACAAGCATCAGAAGACAAACCAGAGAAAGAGTAGTCAGAGATAGAAGAGGAAAAACAGAAAAGTTGAGTGTAACAGAACTCAAGGGAGGAGAAAGTTTTATGAAATTGGAAGTAGAGGCCGGGCGCGCTCAAGCCTGTAATCCCAGCACTTTGGGAGGCCGAGATGGGCGGATCACGAGGTCAGGAGATCGAGACCATCCTGGCTAACACGTTGAAACCCCGTCTCTACTAAAAAAAAATACAAAAAACTAGCCGGGTGACGTGACGGGCGCCTGTAGTCCCAGCTACTCGGGAGGCTGAGGCAGGAGAATGGCGTAAACCCGGGAGGTGGAGCTTGCAGTGAGCTGCGATCCGGCCACTGCACTCCAGCCTGGGCGACAGAGCCAGAGTCGGTCTAAAAAAAAAAAAAAAAAAAGAAATTGGAAGTAGATAACAAGTATTTACTTGGCCAACATTTACTGTTATTTGCTGTTTTCCAGGAACTCTGCCAGACAGGGATTACAGCAGTAGGCAAGACCAATCCACTGCCTGCCTTCATGGAACTTACATTCTGATGAGAAAGAAAGATTATTTACATAATTAACAGTGTGATTAATATTATAAATAAGTACAGAATGTTTTTGGACTATGTAACAGTAAAACTTCTAGTTTTGTTGAAGGAATGTGCAGGAAAAACAGAAACTTGAGAGGTGACCTAAGATGGAGGTGGGGGTGGCACACTTTCTACTGAAGTACTAAGGTAAGAAAGAGTATATTGGAGGGCTTGAAATAAGTCATATAGCTATAACAGAGAGTGAGAATGGCCTGAGATACTAGGTAACATTTAATGAGCATGAACTATGTGCCAGGTACTGTTGTAACTGCTTTATATGTATTACCAGATCATGTAAAGCAATGGTCCCCAACCTTTTTGGCACCAGGGACCAGTTTCATTGAAGACATGGTTTCAGGATGATTCAAGTGCATTACATTTACTATGCACTTTATTTCTCTTATTAGTACATTGTAAGATAAAATAATTAGACAACTCACCATAATGTAGAATCAGTGGGAACCTTGAGCTTGCTTTGCTGCAGCTAGACGGTTTCATCTGGGGATGATGGGGGATACAGTGACAGATCATCAGGCATTAGATTCTCATAAGGAGCACACAACCTAGAGCACTCACATGCACAGTTCACATAGGATTCACACTCCTGTGAGAATCTAATTCCACCACTGATCTGACAGGAGGCAGAGCTCAGGTAGAAATGCAAGTGATGGGAGTGGCTGTAAATACAAATGAAGCTTCACTTGCTTGCCTACTGCTCACCTCCTGCTGCATGGCCTGAAGGTTAGGGACCCCTGATGTAGAGAATTAGAGACCTTGTTAAGAATCTTATTCTTGAACCTTTGGATTGTGAGAAGTGAATAAAAGGATTTTAAGCAAGTGAGTGATATGAAAAGGTTTAGAGGATGACAAGAGTGGTTGTGGGAGACTGATTAAGCTATTGCAGTGGGCCAAATAATAAATGATGATAGGTTGGTCTAGAGTGGCAGTAGTAAGAATTGAAAAGGGTGAATAGATTTGAGATATGTTTAAGAGGTTTGGTTATTGAATTGGGGGTGGGAATTAAGAAAGTGGGAAGAGATAAAGCTGCTTCTGGGTTACTGGCTTGGGCAATAGGGTAAATATCATTTGAAAAAGGGATTACTAGAGGAAGAACTGGTTAGGAGAAAAGGGAAGAGTGTATGAGTGGCTCTGTTGGAGACACATTCAATAGGAGGCACCAATGAGATATCCATGTCAAGCTGGCAGTTTGATCTTGAGAGAGAGACACATGGACTGCAGAGATATATTAGTAAACACTGGCAAAGGACTGTATAGATCAAATTGTCTAGGGTAATAATTCCCAAAATTTAGAGTAGATGGAATTGCCTGGAAGGCTTAACACAGATTTCTAGACCCTACTCCCAGAGTTTTTTCTTCAGTAGGCCTAGGAATGGAGACCAAGAGTTTGCATTTCTAAGTTCTGACGTGATGCCTATGCTGCTGACTCAGAGACACATTTTTGGAAGAAGATGTAGAACAAGGAGAGACCCAGAACCTAGCATTGAGGATCTCATTTTTAATTGGAATAGGAGGAACCTACAAAGATGACTGACAAAGAAGTAGGAGGGAAAATCATATGTATTAGGTTTACTGATTGAGGCCACGAATGACTCATGAGAGCATTTTCATGGAATAGTGGGACAAAGGCCAAATTGCACGAATTGCTGTATAAGGAGAAGGAATGAAGAA